TCTGGCCTGTTAGCAAGTCGCCAGAGTTATTCCCCAACCATATGATTAGTAGAGAGACTCACCTTGGCAGCATATTATAGAGTATGCACACTAATAAGAATATTCACCGAAAATGTAGACATGTTTTGCTCTAAGTGATCCTAAATCCAGTTTTTTTCTGCCCCAAAACAGGCTTTTTTCTGTCCCGAAAATTGCTCCAAATTTTAAACAGGTTGGACCACCACTAGTAAGGCGAAGCAACGGATAACGATAACGGATTTCAGATTCGGTTTCATGTAACTGCCACTATAGGTTGAACAGCACTTTTCGCACAGTCTCGTCCTGATGAGAGCGCAGCAAGTGGAAGTGTATGTGCGCCGACCGCTCATGGCTGCCGAGCCAGAGATCGCGCCAATGCGAAGTTCACACCTTCCTCTCTCATATCTTTTCATGCTCGTTCAACTGGGTGGTGTGTTTCCTCTCTGGTTCAACGACAAGCCTCCCAAGCGGGGTTATGTTATCGCATATGCCCTCCAGTTCCCAGAAGGGCCAGCTCTGCTTCAGCAGCGCTCGTCGTTCCTGCTAGCGCGCTTTCACCCGCGGGTTGAACATCCTATTTCTGGAGTTATCAATTTAGACTTAATATGGGACATCACGGCACCGTCGATGACAAAAACCAGTTTAAAGTTACTTTTATCGCAATAAGGCTATTGCAAAAGATAGCTTAAGTGTTTGAAAAATGCAGCATTGCACGAATGTTACTGTACAAGTGCTGTGTAACGGGAATACATCTGCTCTGAAAGTTTTGCATAACTGCTCCGATCTTTGTCAAAAAGGCCTTTCTGGCTGCTCCATGCGTGCTCTAAAACGTCTCTTCAGTTGCTCCAAGGCTGCTACAAAAGGCACTTTGCCATGCTCTCATAACTGCTCCTATATAGCTTGTTCCAACCTTGCATTAAGCACTTTCATCAGCTCTGACCTCGTTTAGTTTATTTAGCTTATTTGGCTTTTGAAAATTTCGATGCTGGCTACTTTCGCAAGATATGAAAATAACGCTTTCGGTACTTGGTGTTCAAGGGTCATCCATCTGCCTAATTATGTTTTTTTGCAATTTACAGATATTATTATCTGTGCAATATGTTTAATATAAATATTAATATTTATAAGAGGCTTAAAAGTGCCCTGCAACACTTTTGCTACAACCTTATTTAGCATTGGAACACTTGCCGTAGTAATTGCTGAAGCTAATACAAGAAGAATTATGCAAATTGGTGCCTGAAAAGTGAAGTGATGAGTCCTCAAAGTTCAAAACTCGAGTAGATGACAACAAGAAATATTCCCTTTCGCATTTCATTCGCCATCAAAGACCGCTTCCAATCACAGCATGTGTCTCATAAACACCTATCAAAAATGTCACTTTATGATGGCCTTTACGCAATATTTTGCTACAGCTCTTTTTGATGGCCTCGTTAGCATGGTTGCACCGAACCTTGTGCATCAGGTAGCAGACGCTCTCACGGTCACATTGTGCAAAATACATACATACAATTCAGGTGGGGACACTTCTTGGCCTGTATGCAAGACGCGTTCAAGGGCAACACCAGCGCCAACGCCTCATGTTGCATTTTTGCTTTGATAAAAACGCGCCACAAGTTTCCACCTTTAGTGGAAGCTTGTGGAAACTGGTGTGCCATGGGCATGTTTGCTGACCAAATATCGCGTTCATTCTGAAAATGAATTGTGGAGAAACAGAGAATATTTCTTTCTGACAAAGTATAAAAAATATTTTTACTGTTTTTAGCATTCACTCGTATGGCCTAGCTATGACCACATGAATATTGCACGCTACTTGTTGCGTCAAGCCAGTCATAAATGTGTGGCCTTTGTCATCATGTCACACGACATGACATCACTTCCACGCATTACAAAAATAGCCTGTGTGTGTCGCTGTAGTCTGGAATCAAGGTAGTTTGTCCCCTGAACTAATATTATAACAGCTTCGATGTTGGTGTTGCTACTTGCACAACAATATTGGCGCATTCAACAGCACCAAAAGAATCGATGAAGACGTGCTCGAATTGTGTTGCAGGGCCCCTTTAAATGATGCATTGAACTCCAGGAGTCGTTTGTAATATTTTGCGATCTGTTCTGAAAACACAAATAGTTGCTCTAGGCTAGTATTTTTTGTGCTCCAAAAACAATCAAGGCTGCTCTAAAGTACCATTTTTCCTGCTCCAATATCAAATTGTCGCTTCCATTACTGAAACTAGGCCCTAGTTAAAGGCCTGCTTAGAAAGCTGCTGGCAATGCTAAATCCAGATAATTTGATTTGGATGGCTGTCTTGTCACAGTTTTTACAATACTCGTACGTCTAAGTTAGCAATTCAGCCAGCATGCCAAGGATGGGTAGTACACATGGCTCTGTTCGGTTTTTTGGAGCCTTAATTCGCTTTGCCGCAGGACTTTTGGCAGTTATGCTTCAATGTCTGGTCCATTTCAGGCTCACCAATTTTAATTGGCTCATGAAGTTCACAATGATCCATTTTGTTATTTCAAATAAATCCACAAGTGCATTCGAAGCCGGAAGACTGGGCAAACTTGTGTACTATTCATCGTTTGCGTGGTGGCTGAACCAGCGCAGAGTCCCCTCTAGTTAATTATAGGAAACTCTATGGCTTTGATAGCATTATCACCTCTCAGGTTTGCCAAGCACGTGCACTTGAATTGTATTACAATCACTTAATTGTGTGTGTCACTTTGTCTGAAGAGTCACTGCGTGATGTGTACAGGGCGCCGATGAAGCAAAACGATCGTGTGCATGGAAATGCAGCCTTCGAGGCATGTGCACTAGTCAAGTGCGTACTTGGGACATTTTCGAACTGATGCTCTCCCCATTGTTGGCCATCAATCGTTTCTGATATATTTTATAAAGGCTGTTGAGGAGATTTTGCATTGCTACACTTATCTGGATATGAATGTGTGACCGTCATTGTTGGAACAGAAGTGTTCTGCTATTAAGCCCAATTCTTGGCATCGAGGAACAAAAAAGGAGCGTCAGGCATGCACACTGTGCCAAGCTGCCCTAATAGGGCCCCCATCACGAACAATAAAACACATTTATGTCTATTATACTCCAACAACACATTCTGAATATGTTTTCAATGCTTTGAGTAAAATATTTCGGATAGTAAAATGTTTCTCGAATTGATTGACTGAAGCCATTTGAAATGAATATTCGCACACCCCTATACTGTTTCACCACTTTCGTTCAGCACTACCAAAGCTACGGGGTGTAAGAAAGCCACATGTTTGTGCAGCGAAACCTAGTCCCACATACAAGTGCCTTAAAGTTGACAGGGTTGGACAGAACTGGCATTTCATTATTGTTTTATGCCACGTCGATACATGATGTCTTCATTTTTCCTCAAGTTTATTTCCTACACGTTTATTTGTTTGCGTCAGTTACCGCCAATAGCTGTGTTTACAAATCAACATGGCAGCCCCGATACAGAAGTGACTGCTCGCTTCGATCCAGACTTGCTCTTGCTACACACTAACTGTGCTGACAGCAGTATACAAATGGTGAAATCAGCCATCGATTTGTTTCATCCGACTCTGGGACTAAAGCATGAGGTACGTTTTGTCGATATTAGCGAGATATGCTGCTTGCTTAGCTGCACTTGCTAAGCCTAATGCGCTGAGGCAGTGTTCGGACTGCGTCGTCAGGCCAAGAACGCCTTGTCTACAAATATTGGACATGCCTCGCACAGCATTCCTTGCGCGTCAGATCCTCTTTCAGTGGAAGCGAAAAAATGCCAGGCCTGCACGGTAGGCGCAGCACAGTCACAGCAAAAGCTAGAAGAGTGGCCTTTCAGGGCCTTTTCAAAACACTCATTGGGTAACTACTGCAAGCACACTTGTTTGGCACCCACTAGGACAATAATAATAAACTTTTGGGTAGTAGGCCGGCATTCGCTATGCTATTTTTGTCATTCTTCTGACAAATTTTGTGCCAATTGTCCATGTAGTGGATGATGACGATGACGAATTATGGCTGTAGTGGGTATGTGCCACAGTTATTAAGGAAACAAGAACAAGCTTTTGTAATGGGTTGCAGCATTGGACAGCCCACTCGTTATGCTAATCGCATTGTGAGACGACTGGTTGTTCTTTTGCTATTTTAAAATGCCTTATAAGTCGTATTAACGCGATTGCTTTCCCGACGTCAAGCCTGCCTAAGGCAAGTTTGACAAGTCACAAGCACCCGTGTAGCTCAGTGGTAGAATACCGGGCTGGCACCCAGCGGACCCTGTTCGAGCCCCACTGTGCCATTGGTGCTCGGTCATGCCTTCCTAAGGCAAGGTTTTTTTTTTTTCTAATTTCGGGCAGTGTGGTTATGAACACCGGCAGCGGCGGCGGACAACATGCAACTGCGCCTGACCTCAAAAGTGATCTCATAACAGCTTTCGCTGTAAAAGAGAGAAAACTAGTGTTGCAGTGGGAGACCGAAGGAACGTGTCGACGGAGAAACACACATACAAGAGCCACGAACAGCATCGCAGAGCAACAGCCACGGAGTGAAGTTATTCACCGGCATGAGCTTCTACCGATCTCCAGCAAAGCAATAAATTCACACTTCTTTAATAAGTTCCCAGTGTAGCTGCTTGTTTAATAGCTTTAATACATTTTTAAGTTAACAAACTAGCCATAACTACAATTCATTGAGCAGATGCTGTGAATACAGTGAGCAGACGATATGGCGCAAATGAATACATGTGGAGGGGCTTAGCACCCTTTTTATTGGCTGAGAAGCCAGTAGCCTCCACAGTGCTGAAGAGGACCTCTGAAACAGGGTATAGCGTATACCTCTATTGTCTCCTCTCATGTATGGATATGCACAGTAATATTATTACCTGTACCGGATAGTGCTGCATTGCAATGCTCCTATTAATTGTTTCTGTTAAGTGAAAGATGCTTTTTCTTGCACTTCTCATTTACATACTCTGAATTTCTCCTTTCAGACTCACAAGGCGATGGAGATTGGGCGCACGGGCCGTGTTCAGGTGGAGGATATAGTGTTTTTAGTGCGTAAAGACCCTAGAAAATACGCACGTGTTAAGGATCTTCTCACTATGAATGAAGAACTGAAGAAGGCTAGAAAAGCATTCGACGAAGTGAAGTATGCATCAGTGTAGTCATCGTAGCTTCTAATGTGTGTCTGAAAATGAAATAAACAAACAAAGGTGATGCCTCATCTCTCGTGCACATTGTGAGCTTTACGTGTGAAAAAAAATATGCCAAGCTTGAAAAATCTTTGCCAAGACATTGCAGTTATAGTTTAACATCAATATTACACAGTCTGTAAAATTAGCATTTCATTATGTTGAAATTGACAATTTTAGCAAGGTACATCCATCAATGAATGGTTGTCTACACTAAAGGGGCGGTAAAAGCTGTCTAAATATCAAGTTGCTGCCCCCCTTTCCAAGAAAAAAAAGAAACCTAGATAAAGCATGGAAAAATTGTGAATGTGAAAAGCAAGTAGGAGCATTGTGATGCCACAGTCTTCATGGCTGCCAAATGGCATGTGAAAAGGAATGCAGGTCTGATATACTGATGCCGAATGAGCCAGTTTGAGTGCGGTGGGATTGCACAGAGATCGAAAGGAATCTCGAATTCCCTTATAATAAAGTTTATTTTTCGACTCTGAAATACGCACAGTACTACTCTTCATCAGCTACAGCTGTAGAAGGGTGCCTGCTCTGATTGGCTGAGCCATGTGAAGTGGGAGCACTTCACTGGCAGCAGATGCTTACTCTCCACCAACATGTAATATATCTGCTTGTTCGATGTTCACCAGGCACACTGCAGTCTACTCCATACCATAATTACCAATTGCTTGTTCTGTGTACTCGCTTCCTACTTCAAACCACGACTATAGTGTATTAGGCCAGTACTTTATCATCCACATAGAATTTTTTTTTTTCTGTTTCACAACTCTGCATAGTATATACTAGTACTTTGTTTTCTCGCACTACCTGCTACTCTTCCATCGATACTATAAAATTAGTCTATGTTGTCTACAATGTTATGGCAAATTATAAACCTCGAACCACATTTTTCCCCTTTGAAACTGAAAACATGCCTGTTATTATTTAGTACTGTATATACTTCACCATACTCGGCTACAGCTTTTCTTCACAGCACTGTGGAAGCTACAGAACCGAATCGTATGCCTGATACCGAGCCAAAAAGTAGTACTTAAGTTTACTGATAATTTTCTCATTTGCATTGCTGAAATATATGCTGGTTTATTTGGTACAGTACTCAATTGCGAGAAGTCATAGGTAAAATACTATTATTTTTCACCTTGTGAGAATGCATTCTTTTTCTTTCCATTTCTTAGACAGTACCACCTTTTCACGCAACCACTTTCTAAAGTAAGCATGGCATCCATGAGGTAGCGGGTCAATGTGTTGCCACACATGACTACATGCTACACTCCTAGTGCGCTCGCAGCCATTTCGTTAGCTTCACATATACCAAATTTGAAATTACGGGACGCGAATGGATGACTAAGGTACGTGACTGGTGCAAACATGATAACTATGAGGTGCGTGTCATGTAGCAACATGACTATGTGCCACGCTCATGATGCGCTTGCGGCCGTTTTGCTGCCTTCACTTATACCAAATTCGGTATTGCGTCACCAAGGAATGGATGACGAAGGTAAATGACACATTCGAACATGATTAATCATGATATGCTTGTCGTGTAAAACATGACTACATGCTACGCTCATAGCGTGCTCGCGGCCATTTGGCTAGCTTCACATATACCAAGTTTGGTATTACGGGACGTGAATGGATGATGAAGGTATGCGACTGGTGCAAACGTGATGATCATGAGTTGCGTGTCATGTAGCAACATGACTACATGCCACGCTCATGATGGGCACGCAGCCGTTTCGCAACCTTCACTTATACCAAATTTGGTATTGCGTCACATAAACGGACGGCGAAAGTAAATCACACGTCTGAACATGATTAATCATATGCGTGTCGTGTAAAACATGACATGCTTCGCTCATAGTGTGCTTGCGGTCATTTGGCTAGCTTCACAAATATCAAATTTCGTATTACGGGACGTGAATGGATGCGGAAGGTATGTGACTGGTGCAAACATGATAATCATGAGGTGCGTGTCATGTAGCAACATGACTACATGCCACGCTCAAAATGCGCTTGTGGCCATTTCGCTCCCTTCACTTATACCTAACTTGGTATTGCGTCACATGCATGGACTGCGAAGGTAAATCACACGTCTGAACATGATTAATTGTGATATGCGTGCCATGTAAAACACCACTATATGCTACGCTCATAGCGTGCTCGCGGCCATTTGGCTATCTTCACATATGCCAAATTTGGTATTACGGGACGTGAATGGATGATGAAGGTATGTGACTGATGTAAACATGATAATCATGAGGTGCGTGTCGTATAGCAACATGACTACATGCCGCGCTCGAGGCCGTTTCGCTACCTTCTTTTATACATAATTTGGTATTGCATTACATGAATGGACGACGAAGGTAAATGACACGTCCGAACATGATTAATCATGATATGTGTGTCGTGTGAAACATGACTAGATGCTACACTCTTTGCGTGCTCGCGGCCATTTGGCTAGCTTCACATATATCAATTTTGGGTGTTACGGGATGTGAATCGATGATGAAAGTATGTGACTGGTGCAAACATGATAATCATGATGTCATGTAGCAACATGACTACATGCCACAATCATGATGCGCTCGCGGCCATTTTGCTACCTTCACTTATACCTAATTTGGTATTGCGTCACATGAATGGACGACGAAGGTAAATGACACGTCCGAACATGATTAATCATGATATGTGTGTCTTGTGAAACATGACTACATGCTACACTCTTTGCGTGCTCGCGGCCATTTGGCTAGCTTCACATATACCAAATTTGGTACGGATGATGAAGGTATCTGACTCGTGCAAACATGATAATCATGACATGCATGTCATGTAAGAACCTGACTACATGCCACACTCGTGGCGCGCACGCTTGCGGCTATTGTGCTAGCTTCACATGTACCAAATTTGGTTTTACTTGAAGCCTAGCTGCGGTGGTCTAGTTGCTAAAATACTCGGCTGCTGACCCGCAGGTGGCAGGATTAAATCCCAGTAGCAGTGGCTACATTTTCGATGGAGGTGAAAATGCTGTAGGCCTATGGGCCCAGATTTTGGTGCACGTTAAAAAACCCCAGGTGGTCGAAATTTGCAGACCTCTCTACTATGGCGTCTCTCATAATCATATGATGGTTTTGGGACGTTAAACCCCACATATACAAGGTGTCCCACGTAACTTTAGCCAGAGCCAGAACACGTAATTACGATGCGACCAAATGCATGTTGCTCACCGTTGCCTGGAGTTAGTCAGTCTTTTTTTTGTGTGTTTTTGAATGTTGTTTAATTAGATCTGTTTAAATAACTAACTTTTGAAGGAATGAAGATGGATAAAAAGTTTCAATTAGAAAGTTATAGATCGGTTTGCAAAACGTCCAAATATATAGTTTTGAACGTTATATCTGTTAAGTATTAGTCTTTTTTGCTAATTACAAGTGCACGCGAGATACAAAAAAGACCACGTGACAAACCCGCTCACGAGTCAGTGCGCACGATGATTCTAGTGCTCCCTAACGTTCCGCATACAAACGACACTTTCCTTGCACCTGTTCATGACAGCGATAAGCAGTCATAGCAGTTGTCGTTTTTGTGGCCGATAGCAAAACCTGTTCATTTTAAAGCCACCCCACCATAACTGCAGCCCTGCCGAGACAGCAAAATGAGGCAAATGCTATGGTTGTTTGTACGCGGAACGTGAGGGAGCACTAGAATCATTGTGCGCACCGGTACACGAGTGGGTTTGTCACGTTGTATTTTTGGTACTTCGTGGGCATTTGTAATTAGCAGAATAACACTATTACCTAACAGATATAAAGTTCAAAACTATTCAATTGGACGTTTTGCAAACCAATCTACAACTTTCTCATTGAAATTTCTTATCTATCTTTGTTTCTTCGAAAGTTAGTTAATTAACATATCTAATTAAACAGTATTTCAGAACACAAAAAATAGTCGGACTAACTCCAGGCAAAGGGGAGCAACAAGCATTTGGTCGCGTCGTAATTACGTGTTTCAACATATCTATAAACTCTGGCTAAAGTTACGTGGGGCACCCTGTATATCATAGTATCACGAGACATGAATGAACGACAAACATAAATGCCAGGCTGATGATGACTGATATGTTGGGTCTAACGTCCCAAAGCCACTATATGATTATAAGAGACGCCGTAGTAGAGGGCTCCAAAAATTTCGACCACCTGGGGTTCTTTAACATGCGCCCAAATCTGAGGACATGGGCCTACATTTCCGCCTCCATCGGAAATGCAGCCGCCGCAGGCGGGATTCGAACCTGCGACCTGCGGGTAAGCAGCCGAGCACCTTAGCCGCTAAACTACCGCGGCAGGGCCACAAATGCCAGGCGCCAACATGCTAATCATAACATAGAAGTCATGTACGGCACAATTTACATGCATACCACTGCTGGTGCTAGTATTGAAAACATTAGTGGTGCCGTCATTACACAACTATAAACGACATACTTGCATATCTGAACACATGAGTGCACATAACATTTGTACGTGTGTTTAATGTGTACTATGCTGTCAGCCTCGTAGCGTTGCACTGATTTTAAGGTTATATATCCACCTTCCTCATTCGTGCTTCACAGTTCATCGATTACCACCAGTTTTTATTTAAAAAAATATATTATGTACTAGTATGCTGTTTCACGAGTTTCGTGCAGCAGAGCCAAAGCTATGCAATCTTAGAGTGCACGTTCTTGTGAACCAAGATATAGCGCCCATGTTCAGAACCCTTTGCATGTCCTTATGATCTTTACAAGCGACTTCATGTGATTCTTATTTGAAGGCTTCTATGTGTTTTGGAAATACGATCTGCTTGGCAATTTTACACCATTCTCCATATAAAACAATATTTGTGGCTCTACAACACAAAAGAATGAGCTCTCACTTCTTCCTGTTATAACATACAAAAGCAGAATAAATAACTGCTCCTTTTATGCATTAAGTTCTCATCTTTCAAGTACAAGCTACTGGTATGACACTGCCTAAATTTTACATGTGGTTGGCAT